TTTGGAGGAGAGGCGGCGCGCTCATCATATGATATAGTGCAGCCCATAGGAGAAGGAGGTGGAGAGAATTATAGAAAGCCGCTTGGAGATGGCTGAGGATATTGTGCAGCATGCAGGAGAAGGAGCTAAGTGTAGGGATGTCAACGGGGCCCTGTGGGGCCGGAGAGTCCCTCCCTGTCCCCGTGAATAGTGGGGACAGGGATCCCCGCAGGGATTTTTAACGAGGGGCAAATTTTGCCCCCCATCCTCGTTCATCGCGGGGAATGGGGATCTTCGCGGGGATCTCCTTTCCCCACCAATTAATATAAAAAATAAATTTTTTTACATATAATTAATTAATATTTAATTATAATAAATAAAATTTTAAAAATTCAACTATAATTAATTAAAATTCTTTAAATATAAATTATCCAAACATAAATAAAGATCAATCTAACATAAATAACTAAAAGGTTAATAATAGGTTGGATAAAATTGAATTAAATTTAAATTTTATTTAATTGGATTTAGGTTTGAAGGTTGAATTAAATTTAAAATAAAACTAATTTACATATTTTTTCAATTTTTCGCGGGAATGGGGATCCTCACGGGCCCCACGGGGCTCCCCAAAAATTCTCCGCGAATTTTCACGGGGAGAAAATACTCCTCGTTCCCGCCCCGCGAGGAGGAATATTCCTTCCCGCCTCGTCCCCATGGCGGGGATCCCCACAGGGCCCCGTGGGGATTGGGGCAAATTGCCATCCCTAGCTAAGTGGAGACAATTGCATGTAGAACACGTGGAGAAGGAAGCGAACAGAATTATAGAACACCTGGAGATGGCTAACGATAGTCCAGCACGCAGGAGAATGAAGTGGAGACTTGCAGAAGACATGGAGATTGCTCTAGATAATGTAGCACAGAGGAGAAAAGGAGTTGGATAGAATTGCAGAACAAATGGAGGAAAAGGCTGAGGGTAAGGGCATATAAAGAACTTTCAGCAACATAAAGTTGGTTACTGAAAGTTTACCCCACTATCACCATCATACTCCATGTTGGTAAAACATGTTTGAATTTCAAATCCACCACCCATCACCAACATATATTATGTTGCTAAAATTTGAAATCAAAATCACTCCCACCTCACCACTAAATAATTAAAATTATTATATTTTAAATAATTCTTAATATTTTAAAAATTCATTTTTATAAATAAAATTTAATTTATTAGTTGGTTTTATTTCATCT